CGCGGCGCTTTGAGCCGTTAGAAGGGCGGCGAGCAGAGGCAGGGAACGCGCAGACCCTTCGGGAGGAGTGAGGGCTCTCTGTTTATTGATAGGGTGCTGAATAAAAGTCATCGGTGTTTATTTCATTGACACAAAGTCTCCACCAGGGTGTAAAATATTTAAGTTATTACTGCTCTACGTAGCCAGATGTTAGGATACAATGACACTAAGCACAGATGCAGTTAGTACCACAAAAATCCAGTGTCTGTTTTACTAATTTCATTCTTAATCGTTACACAGTGAAAATAAAACTACAAATGCTGTTTCTGCAACATATTTGAAAGTAGGTGCTAATTTAGGAGATATGAAGTTTCCTGCTTAAAACAGATATATAATTTAACAGATACCTATGCATCTTTCTCCCATTTTCAATAATCACATTTCTTTTTAAAACGCGGAACCAGGCAAGAGGTCCTCCTCCCTTATCATTTGCTTAGAAGGCTCCTTCTTGAAAAGGAGGAAACACAAGATCTATTTGAAAGCGAGATGCAAGCCGTAAGTGTTGCAGACTATTTCTGTAGGTCCTAAAGGTAAAAGCACACTCAGAGAAAGAGAAATGCTTGGTTGATAAAGTCAGAGGAAAAAAAGGTCAAGATGTGATTTAAACAGTGAACGCAATTTGGAGACACCAGGCCAGTGCGTGTGCACGGGGTAGTTACCACCTACACAAAGGCATATGAAATATAAGCTGCTCCCAAGTCCTTCCAACTTCTCCACCTCCTTTCTATATATGCATTTCATATACGTGGCTGGCAGAAACAGACCCAGCACAGCTTTGGACTTCCATACAAGATGGTCAAAACTCATAAAACGGGGGAGTTGGCTACCACACAATACACGCACTTCATCAGGTCACTGCCTGCCACCGTTTGTAACATCATCTTTAGAAACGGTCACATTTTATGCTGCTGTATACCTGTACCTATAGCCCCACTGGGCCTTTCAATTATCATTTGCTTGATAAGAACAAAGGTGTTCAGGATTAGTAAGGAAATTAAATCTTTGTGCAGTTTGCAAGATCACATTAAAGTAATATTTGTCTTTTGTCTTACAGAAAACCACATCAGACAACTTCAGCTTAGTAATATTAGAACTGTGATTCATTAAGTCCTGAGAAGCTATTTTGGATATTGAATTGTAATTTAGAGGTGGTTTTAGGTTTGCTTCTAAGTACCTGAATGCTTGCTATGTTCTTGGCTGAATTCATACAGCAAGGAAAAAGGCAAATTTGGTTTCCTTGCTGCCTTCCTTCAGGTGCTCCTGTCCCTGATAGAGCAACTGTCCTGACCCTCTTTAGGCTGAGTCTGTTAGACTCATGAAACCCTCTGCCTTTCCTGGCAAAACCAATGATACATTTGAAAGAAAATTTTGATCCATGATAAATCCAATCATGATAAATTTCCAGTACTTGTGTCCTAATAAACTTGGGTTGTCTTAATTCTAGTTTTAAACTTAGTAGCATAGACTTAAAATCACTGATTACTTTGATTTCCATGCTGTAAAGCTTTCCTAACTTGTAGCATCAGGCAAGACATTTCAATAGGGTTAATTATTCCATTATTGCTTCCTAAGCCACCCTCTGAAGCATCATCTGGTCCTATTCCTGATACTAGTCTGAAACAAAACTGTGGTCTCTGTAATTTCTTTATTTTCTGGGTATTTTCTCATGGGTAACTCCAGACCTTTTTTTTTTTTCTTTCATTTTTAAAATCAAGAAAGATGAAGAGGGAGGCAGAAGGAAAGCAAAGAACATTTTGGTAAGGGACTTAAAGCAGAGAAACAGGATAAAGAGATTATCCTTATGAACTTGTCCATTTGTAAAGGCAAGAGCTCTGCATACAACACATTTCATGCCTAGAATGAAACCAGGGAGCACAAGAGAAGAGTTGACCGAGCGTGCGCCCCGCTGCTTGGGGGTTACACTTCCATTTGCTTGCCCATCTTGCTGAGGGCATCGCTGACAATGTCCAGCTCGTGGCGGAGCTCGTTCACCACACTGGCAATGCTCTTGGTGTCTTGGAGGATCTGCACACTTTGCGTATACGGATTGTACTTCACACCAAAGGGGCGCTTGATGGTTTTTGCAAACTCTCTGTTCAAGCGAAGGGAAAAAGAAGGGCAAAGAAGGGGAGTTATCAACAAAAGACCAGGTATCCTCTGTGTGCAGTCAGAATAAATGACTGTATCTAAAGCATTTACTTTCTTAATGAGAGCAATAATGATATAGTTTGCGATCTCTCCCACCCAGCACATTGGGCATGAAGCCAATATTAAATTTATCTTTCCAATCCCATGGAAGGTAATTATAAAACCTTGCGTTAAGAATGAATATGTTTGGTGCTGCTGCTGGGAGATGCATGCAACTGAATCTATTTTCATGAAACAGAAATAACAAGCAAACAAATAGAAAAACAGTACCTCATCCTTTCCTTTGCTTCTTCAAAACTTTCAGAAACAAAGTAAACCTCCTGGAAAGTTGTAATGAGGCATTCTTGCTTGCAGGTGACTTTTGGATCAAACAGCTTGACTTTGGCACTGCCAGAGAGAGCGTGCTGGGGAGCACAGTATTACCGTGTGAGGAGAAACAAAAAAATCCATGAAGATGACAACATGACATAGAGAACAAATTAAAAGAAAGACCAAATGAGACCACATTCAGTGTATCATCCCCTAAGAGCTGTGTCTGCAACAGCAGAATTATTCAGAATCTAATGTTAACCAATACCAGTCATCTAATACTCCACCTGAAAGACAGGAAAGCTGCACAACATATACCCAAAAGCAGGCATACTGATCAGCGCCACCGTGTAATCACATAAACAAAGTCATCCCTACAGTAAGTGTCTAGGAGTTTTTGCAATTAGCATTTTCAGAATTATAGTTCATGAAAAATGGGGTAAAATAATACAAGAACAAACAAAACAGGACAATGATTCAACAGTAGAATTGTACCTTGAGCTCACTAATTGAAGACAGCAAGCCAGCACCGTAAACTCTTAGCTGTCCTTCTTGCTTGCATAAACCAAACTCCACAGTGAAGAAGTAACACTGAAACAGAGACAGGAGTAAAGCAATTCAGCCTTTGACAAAGGTGCTGCAGAAAATTAGATGGGGCATTCCTACTTGTAGGTAGTGACAAACAGTTGATGCCAGAGCTCCATCACTTGCCTGTCCTAACTGCATACATAAAGAGAAGAGAATCCAGAATGGAAGAGTGAAGAAACAGAGGTGTTTCTAATAAACAAGTCTGATATTCTGCGTCCGGCTACTCACAGAAGGAGCACGGAGATGTCTGTCTGCCTTAGTTCTATGAAACATCCTGTCGTGACAGGACAACCTCAACTTAAGAGAAACATTTGACAGATACAAATATATAGACAAATACATAGAGAGAAGTGCTTAGCTATATCTCAGTGGGATCATCAGGAACCGAACTACTCACTGTTGCCAGTTTCTGGACAGCCTCATCTGACGCCCCAAGTGATGCGAGACCAATTTCCTGAGAGAACTGAGCAAAACTGGGTTCAGCCAAAAGAGGGACATGGCCTAGGAGTTCATGACAAGTATCCCTGGAAAGAGACACGCACGAAAAAAGAAATCTGATGGCCTTAATTTTTGGTGGAGTGAAAAAGCAACACTACTGAACATATAAAACGCCTTATGTGACATTATTTAATATTCAAAAGACAGAGAAGAATAAATTTTCTTTAGCCGAAAACAACTAAGTAGATCATACCAGCTCTGCTAAAATACATAAACTTAGATTTCAAAATTAGGATATCTAAAATGAAGGTCTGAGCTCCACGCTTCAGAGGCAAACGTATGGTAAGCGAAACTGCTCTCAGTGAAGTCAGATAGCAGTGCAACTAGCGTGCTGCAGTTTTGAAAACCTATGAAGACTGCACATGAGCATGCTAAAATGTCATTATAGCCAGTGTGAAGGGCAGGTGCTCCAGCATCTTTAAAAATAAGGTGTCTTGATGGTGCTCTTGAATACTAGCTTGTCTTTGGGCAGCAACATTCGAAAATGTTTGCATTAACTTTTACCCCCAAATTCAATGACTTACGGCTCTGGTGTATAGAGAGGATCCGAGCTGTGCCTAACATATTGAGTGCAGTGAAAAACTCTGAATGCTAAGCCTGCCAGGAAGTCCCTCGGAGACAGATATCCAGCCACGGGGCGAATGGTGAAACCTGTGCGCTCTGAAAAGCGATGGAGAAGTCATGCATTAGTTTCACATCAAATTG